TTTGTTTACTGTAGAGCGTCCAATTTATGCCTGTTTACCTCCAGACGATTGCCAAATCGAAATCGAATCGTATCGAAATGGAATGAATTGAAATGAAATGGACTAGATAGAAACCGAGTAGTATTGCATTGATGACGTAGCGCGGTGGCCAAGGGGCGAGCCGTTAATTGAGTGAGCGGATCATCATCTTCACCTGGCACGGTACGAACTTGGACTGTGAACCGAATCCCGGCGAACTCAATCGAAGGCGGTCTGTGGTGTGTCTGTGGGGCTTTTTGTGGCATGGCGAGGCGCACACCCACTTTGCTTGGTGGTGTTCGTGGAACGTGCGGCATTTTGTTTACAACAACGGAGCAGGGAAAAAACAGACGGTCCGGAAAACATCAAAATGGTCAGGAAATGCTCTACAGTTTAATGGGCCAGATCAACGGATGATGTGTTCAGATATTTCGGTTATATTTTATACAAAAAACAAATTCCTAATATTATAGGTAAAATCACTTTCAATGGTGTATAAAAGTATTCAATACAGAAGATCTTGACTACGATAATGCCAGGATTTATTACTTTTCTGCATACTTTTAGGCACGTGGAGAACTAATATTATTGTACTTTTGTATCTATATTAATTTTCAAATCGATATATTTTAAGTAAATTATTAATTCTGCGGATCTTTCTACCAAAGATAGAGTCTTGTCTATTCGTAGTTAATTAACACCTCCAGAAAAATGACAAAAGACAAGGAGAAGTATTTACGCAAAATATAAAAGAGCGGACGCTCTCTAGACATTGGCCGATTCACCTCCAGATACTAGATATTAGCACGAGTAGATAGATAGGGATATGGCGTTTTGGGCATTGTCAATTGCGTCATTAACGAATCATTTGTTGCGTGCCACTTGAATTGTGGCTAATCCAGCAGACCCACCCATCCACAAGTCATCCAATCCAAACGCCTCGAGGCACGTCATCGACTCCAGCGAACCCAGTGGGTGGACATTTGGGGAACACTATAGTTTAGAGGGGCCTGCCTCGATCTTTGCCTCTGAACAAATTATTTAAAAAGAAAATGATTTGAGAGGTTTTCCTTACCTTCCCCTTAGAATTAAAAATTTATTCGCTAAAAGGAACTTTACCTACGACACTTTTGTGGATTTCAGGGATGGCAACGGAAAATTATTAATTTCACTATCAAAGAATGGTAATACCAACAAAGCTGAAGAGTGTCAAGAAAACCCTATTTTATTTTGATTTCCTAATGGTATTATTGCACTTCATCGTGAGTTTATTCCACCATTTTCTTATAGCTAGTATACTGAGGCACTTATTATATATACACTTATCTCTCTGCGACAGACTAAATGATTCATCAGCAAAGCAAATACCAGAGTTCATAGATGAGCAATCATCTCAGTTCCAATTAAAGTGATGTCACTGTCGGCTTATAGGGAGAATCTGTAGAGGAAAAGATAGGGGCTGATAAAGGAGATACAATAAAATAATAGGCTTTGTACCTGAAGATTTTAAATCGCCTTTCTCATCGAACTTGTAGACGCGGGCATTAATGACACTCAGATCAGTTTGACTTGATTCCCTTTAGATAAGATTTGCCATCATTAGAGATTCCAAATTTTGTTTTGTAAATCATAACTTACACATTGATTGCCCACCAGGATTTCACGTGCAAATTCTTGCCAAGAAGCAGAATAAATCCAGCTATGGCCAGGCCCAGGATGCAAATTCCACTCCAGAAGTCAATGATAAAGAAGTGCTCTCTCACTCTTGCCATTATATAGACGACTATTTCCCGAACCCAAACGGCAAAAACGCCCACTATGTAGGCACTGAAAGCATAGAAACTGGGGGCAAATGCCGGTTAGTTTAACCAGAGATTTAACCATATGATGCTTTCAAGTAGCTTACTGGGTCTTGACGATTTTCAGTTGCGTGCCCAATATGTACTGAGTATCTGGTGGCAGTTCGTAGATGGAAAAGTAGGCCTTCAGGCAGCAAACTATGCTGAAAATCAGCAAGAGTGTAATGGGGCCGTAGTAGTAGATTAAAATGCCCCAGGTGCGGACTGAAAATAGAGAGTTCAGTAAGAAACCACTTGAACTTTAAGATTCTGTTTTCTTTACCATCGAACCAGCAGTAATCTTCTCCCATGCCTGGCTTGAAGTGCTTGGGCAACTTGGAGTCCTGGGCAAAGGAGACTAAAAACCTCAAGCCAATAACCGCCAGGACTGCCAAAGCGTAAGACAACCGACGCACCCAGTTCCTGACAGCCTTTTGTTTAAATTTGAGCAGGAAGTCCAGACTGCAAATGGCCAGGAAGACGAAGGAGAGCATGATGCAAAAGTAGGCCAAAAAACCTTTGGAAGGCAATGACTTATTCACGTGGCTGAGGAAGGAGAGCATTTCAACACACCTATATTCCTGCAAGCCGAATGCGAAAGCTTCATGGGATTCTTCAAGGCCAAGTAAACCAACAAGGAGTAGCCCACGATCAGGGAGAGCAGGTAGTAGATGATCAGCTGGCCATAGTGACTTTTCCTGGCATCTCTCACAGAACCAAGCAGCGAGAGTATAAAGATGTTAATAATGATGGCTATAATACTGCCTGGAAAGGGATTTATTGGGTTAGAATCTATTTTGAAAGGAATGACAGGAAGACTTACAAATAGCGTAGATCCAGACGCGGTAGCCCGTTTGAAAGCGCTCGCAACTGAGCGGAGCGAGCTCCCATTGCTCCGGCTTGTGCTCCAGGGGGCTAAAGCAGTACTCATCCGTGGTCCACAGGCGATTGTCCCGTTGCAGTGATCCGTTCTCGAAGAGATCCCACTGCCAGAAGCTCTCGTGCTTCTTGTCCACGAACTTGTTCCGACAACCGAGCTCCGTGCGAATCACAAAGCGATCGAGAATGCGCACTTGTTCCACCGACCGATTGGCGTAGGTCAGCTCCACGTGCGTGGACTCCCGTACTTGGTGTGGCCTCGAGCAGTTCCAGTGTTTCGAGTCGAATACGAGGTTCTCCGGACAACAGAAGCTAATGCACGGCTTCAGCAGGCAGACGCAGCCGCGCAGGTGCTTCTTGGCTCGGTACTCCACGCCATCGATCACCTTGAAGGAGTACTCCGCCATCAGTTGCGGCGGTACCAACACTCCACCGTATGAATAGGATCCGTCCTTCAACCGGAGACCATCCGTAATGTTAACCGTATCCGCATAGGCACAGGGATGATCAATGCTGGCAGTCTCCAGAGATCGAACGCCAGCGAAGAGCCGAAAAGCCAGAGGAATGATCCAAAGCAAAGCCATGTCTTGATGGAAGATTTCCTCTGTTCGATCTTCTACCTGACGTCACAGGCCAGGCAGCTCGATAATTAAGTAAACAAATATGTGAAGCGATCGCCGTTCGCTTTTGGACAATGCACGCACACTCGCCGAGTCACAAATCCAATCCGAACCAACAACAACCAAAACCCAAAACTGACTACGAATGTGACGCGGGTCTAAAAACGGCTGCGATTGCGACAACGACAGCGACAACACCAAAAAGAACAACCATAAACATAAAAGCCTGGTGGAGAGACTCTCCCAGTGTTGTCTTTGCTCTCTCTAAACGACTAGACGACAAACCGGCAACCGCAACGCAGCTCCATGCTGGCCAAGAATAAAAAACAGACTAACTGATTAGCCAGTCCCAAAACCAGACGCGACCACAAGCAACCGGCAGAAAAACGGCCCGCCGTCTCTCCTCCCTCTTTCCAGAAATCTGCCGTCGAATCTTAACCAGTCGCTGGCACATTCGAAAATCATTTTTTGATAGGCGCCAGTGCTGTGGAATTAGTTTTTCTAGAGATTTTTGGAGTTCAAGTGTCATAAATCCTAGACTTGATAAAAAACTTAAAAATGCATTTAGCACTTTTTATATTTTTTAAATCCCAATCGACATCTAAATGATCTAACGGTTTTACCATATCTTTGCTTTTCAAAAGTGTAGATATCTTACCGGTTTATGCCCAGACTATAAAAAAAGAGTCTATCTGGAGGGTGTACTTGCTAGATATCGTTTACGATCTCCAAGTATACTTCCAGGAAGTAAAAATAGTAATGCAAGATCAATTAATTTCATCTTGATATTCTATGTAATTCAAAAGTCTAACCATATAAAACAAGATCTAAAAATTTGTGTGTGTGAACTTGAATTTCTCTTGATATATAGTCACCACAACTTATGATCTTCCGTTTCTTTAAAGAAAATCCAATAACGTAATGTATTTCCTGTCTTAAAATGTACAATTTTAGATTGACATATGTCACCCAAATCGGCTGAGGAAAAACGCTTCTTTCACTTTTATCTTTGGCTTTATTAAGCTTGAATACAATTATAATTGTTGTATTTTATTACATGAGTGGAGATAATGTAGATATGGAGAACGGTACGTATATGCAAAGAGAGCAATACAAATAACAAACAATACAAATCTCAATTTCAACAAGGCACATCTATATTTAATGTATGTTATGCTGGGTGCTTGGTCTTAGACTAATGGAGAAGTACAAAGTTTGATCCCTCATCAGATGTTTCGAAGATAACTTTTATAATTTCATAGGCATAAATACTAGATATGGCGTTGCATAGCGTTCTTATACAAATAATCAGGTTGTTTGTGGTCACATGACATTTAAAAAGAAGAGAGAGATGGTTCGTGCTTGTTTATGGGATAGGGATAGGGACTTTCTCTTATAGTAGTGTCTTTCATAAAGTACTATCCTTAAATGACTGCGGCAGCGCGATCTAGTAGATGTCCTCCAGATCAGGGTGGGATTGACCTTCAATGGTGACAAAAACATAGATATGATGTTCCATATTTACAGAAAGGTACACGGTGATCGCAGTATTAGAGTTCGCCGAAAGTTTAACCCTCCCTGCTCTGGAGCACATCCCAGTGTAGACTATTCGATGCTCGGCCCAAGGCAACTGGATGTGCGGTGCTCAGCGAAAGATGGTGGTTCTCTGGGGATCCACGCTGGAGCTGATCACCAGCGGCTTCTCCACCGAGGGCTTCTCGTGCAGCGACAGATTGGCCACGCTGCTGGACGTGGTCTTGGTGGAGTACTGACTCTGACGTTGATTACTGCCATCGCGCACACTCGAGCATCTAAATGGTGGGGTTGGGGTTTCGTTGAGTGGTTATGACGTCCATTGCGTGGGCAGCGTGGAATAGACAATGGCGGTAAATCTGATTAGAATTGGTTCGATTGAGTGTTTTGGGTTTTAGTTGGGGAAAAGCAAACACACGAAGCGATCAGATAGGATCAAAACAGATTACCTTCACCAAGACACAAAAATGGAAAGTCAGTATGATTAGGTTTCAAGGAGTAAGGGGTTAGTCAGCGTTTGTTATCTACTGGTTACTTTCAACTGAGGTTAAATACACTTCTTAATTCCTGGTTTACCTGTGACCACTTTGATTAGATGGCTACATTTGGCCTTGGACTTGGATCGGTGGCTTTCCCACCGGTCCTATCAACAGCCTTAAGGTGCAGCTTTTTCGGCAGCACATTCGAGTCAGAAATGATGGAAGTCGAAGTAGTGGTCGAGCTCAAGCCATTAGAGCGCTTTTTCTCCAGCAGTCTTCAGTGGACAACGATCGATGGCGATCACATTGATGTTGAGACACATGCACATATGGACACACATTGTAGATGCAAACATAAGTTGGTGTTTAGATCAGGGCACTTAGATATGGTATTACTGTTTAGTAGCTACGTATACGTGATGCATAATGGACGGATTTTGGTTCTTGAGGCTTAGACTTGACTGGGTTACCCAGCCTAGGCGGCTGGAGATTCGGGGCTGTGTTGGTTGTCAGTGTTGGGTTTTGAGTTAGTCTGCTGGCTGTTTCTGTTGGTGTTGAGTTTGCGGTTAAGCAATATCGAAAGCGGTCTGACAACGAGATAAGTACAACATAAAAGGCATATAATCAGAGTCTGCAAACAGTCAGGATCCCTCATCAGCTATCTATGATAAGTGTGGCGTGTTCCCGAAATCTCTAAACTTATGTAAACTTATAGAATATTCAATAAAAAAATCTTGGTATCAAGATAATGGATTACTAGAGATTCAAGGAACACATACGACAGCTAGCATTTTCGATTTATGAGCACGTTAGTCAGGGCCACGACAATCGAGCGGAATAGAGCCTGCTTACTGCAATCGACGGGATCAGTTCAGACTTCATGTGAGTGAATACCGCTGGTGGAGCCATTGGCGAAGGCATTGCGAATCACCACCAGCTTGCGGATCTGGTTGGAGGCGTCCATAAACCGCTGTCGCATGGAGATCGAGGTGGGCCCCATGGTTACACTCTCAGTCTGCCGCAGACTGCGCACCCGTATCGTTCTGGGAATGGTCGGGGTTAAAGATTCGATGGTGGACAAATACAGGACACACGGGTCGGATGAGTGGACAAACGCCCCAGGGGGGAGACAAAACTAAACTAGAAGTCTAAATAGAGCAACTCTCACCTGTTTGTGATCAAATGCTTGACCTTCTTCTTCATCACGAACAGCATAAAGATGAGGAAGCCCTGCATGGCGTTGGCCAGATCCGAGATGTAGAAGAGCTTCGACCACTCCTTGTCGTTGCCCACGAAGAACGAGACGAGCTCCGACAGCCAAGTGATGCCCATGATGAGGAAGAGGCGCAGGAACAAGCCGAACCTTAGGGTGGACCAAACATGACGGAACCTTCTTAGAGGAAGTTGGATGGGAAACACTGAAGCGATCGCACTCACTTGTCCTTCTCGGTTCGCAGGTTTTTGGTGCTGTTCTCACTCGCAATTATCCTGGCCATCTCCCGTTGAACTCCGTGGATCTTGATTGCCGTCATTATGAACATGATCGTGTTGGCCACGACGATCGCCATAATGGGTCCATAGAAGTAGATCATGGCCGACCAGTTGCTCATGTCCAGCCAGCAGTATGTGCCATCCCCGATTCCGGGCTTGAGATACGAGGGCCAATCGGTCAGTTTCTGGGCACTATAAGTGAAGGCCAGAAAAACGACGGCAATTCCCCACGAGTATAGCGAGTAGAACAGGAAGCGCCTGTTCTCTTGGAACCTGTTGATGCCTCTCGTCCCACGGAAGTTGTGCCACAAGTCGAAGCTGATGACACTCAGCCAAAGGTAGGCGCCCATGAAAAAGAAGTAGGCCGTATATCCCAGTACCTGGCATTCAGTTCCCGAGGCATCGATTTTGTAGAGTTGAACATAGGCCAGCGAGGAGTAGCCGACGGTGAGGCCCACCAAGTAGCAGACCAGGCTCTTGCCATGCTGATTGCGAAGCTCGGGGATCAGCAGGTAAACGGCTATGGTCAGCATCATGAAGGGGATGGAGAAGATCATGGCTGGTGGCGAAAGATGTACGACGGATTATTAAGAATCTGTTTCTAAACGATGCATCAGTAGCGCAGAAGATACGATGTCTGTGCATCGATTACAACCGCAATATAGACTTACCATAGGCATTGATGATCTTCACCGTGCCGTGGTCGTCTTGCATCTCACAGTTGGCCGGACGAAGTGTGTAGAAGAGGTCAGATTCGTTGACATAGGCCGGCACCAAGCAGAACTCATTCTTCCTGATGACCTGCTTATCGTCTATACGGAGCATGGAACCGTTCTCGAAAATAAGATAGTCGTCCCAGTAGTTGATATCTGGCTGCAGGGAGAACATCTTGGGACAGGGTCGGAAGCTCTGGATAGCAAACTGCTGAAACATGTTGACAACCAGCGTGCTTTGGTTATGGAAGGTCACATTGAGCAGAGGCGGTTCCGGCCAAGTCCGATTATCCTTGTGATCGATTATGCATCCATCCGTTTCGGAGTCGAAGACCTGGCGCCACGGGCAGCAGATGTTGAGGCACTCCTTCAACTTGCAGACACATCCTCTGACGTGCTCCGGGACCTCAATGCGTTCCGTCAGCGATCTGTGGATGTAGTCGTACGTTCCGATCAAGTGTGCGGGAACTATCGTGCCATAATAGTCGTAGCTTCCGTTCGAGAACGAGGTGTGACCCGTCAAGTTGACCGTATCGTAGAAATTGCAGGGAACGTTCGGATCATCTATGGTGTGGTAGCGGTCTCTTTCGGCCATAACATAAGCCCCGAAAGGAATTCCCGGAATGAGTCGGAACACAACTAAGCACAGGATCCCGAGCAGAGTAACTCCACAGTACAGGGATCCCCCTCGATGCTGGATCTTCTTCGGCATGATGGAGGTTCTGGGAGTAGAAAGTTTATCAGGGCCATTAAAGTAAATGGTAAACCACTATGACCTATCTAAAATGGTACAACATAAAGTTAAGTTTGGCATTTTTGAGTGCTTGGTTTTGAAAGTTTTGTTTTAATCCTTTTTAAGAGACAACGTTCATAACATGCATTCTTTCAGTATTTTTATCCTAATAATATGAGTTACATAATGCTGAAGAAATAAGCAACTCGTGCCAAGGGAGGGAATCAATTAGTTTCTATTTCCCGATTAGTTAGTCATTCAATGTTTAGCTAACCGAGTTCACTAATTTGGGAAGTGGAGCCCTGTTAAGGGACTCATCAGTGGACACAAGTAGTGAATCATCCACGCGGACAACAGGTTGTCGGAAGGACCAAACGAGGGGGAATTGGATAGCGTCACAAGCAATTAGCAGCCAACGAGTCCCATGGGGGGAACTAAGGAACTAGGTCTCCGTGGGGCATCAATCATAAGGTCAGCCACGCAGGGAGTGCAGACGAAGCAAACATTTATGGATTCGTGTTAAATTGATAGTAAATGCCGTTGTCTGTCAATACCGGTGACACTCTCCCCAAAACCCTGCTCCAATCCAGATCTACCCACTTTTTGAAGCGCTGCTAACAAGCCCGTCCATAAATTCATTACCAATGCGAAAAGCTATACCACTAGCGCTATCTTATCTTGCATCATTAGCCTGTGGGGACCACCTAATTCATTGATCCGCTGATTGTTTGCATTCGGTGAGCGAGCCGCCAGGGAGGAGCAGGGTAACCTGTGGCATTCGTTGGCAGGCGTGTGGGCCACAAAATTAGCCTGAATTTATGGACGGCGATTGGGTGGAGAAGGACAAACACATTAAACTCCATATAGTGGCTAATGGGGAAAATGGATACTGGCGGCAGGAGTGCGAGTAAGCGGTCTTATCTAGCGTTAGAAAATTAGCATAATTAATAGCACATGCACTTCGGAAATTTTAGCATACGTATACCACATACATATTCGCACATTTAGAGTGCGAAAGAGTGCTGCGGATGTTTGAAAAATAATCAAAACATGCGGAACATTAAAATCATGAATACAATTGCCCATAAAATTGAATTATGGCCAGCGATCTCTTTATTTCAATACATTGATTCTCGAAATAATTTCCTTGCCCCCGCGAGTTTGGCATCGGTTTGATAAAAGCAATATTTCTTCTCAATGTCTTTTTCGGGTTCTAAACATTTTGTGTATTTATATTTTAAGCGGCCACACAATTATTCATGCTGAATTGTTTGACTCGATTTCCAAGCGAATCCCAGTTTTATGGAAGTCGTAATATCAGCGAACGGAACGATTTAATATTTTGATCGGGGCTTATATTGGTTGATTGATGTCGTTATTGTGACGGGATAGTGGTTCAACGAATGCTAAACAGATAGATCTAAAGGTTTCATCGAGAAGGAATGCACAACAGGAATTGTATACAAATTAAGGTTGGTTCCAACAATGATAATTTGAAATCGAACTTTAGGTAGCATTTTTGAGCAGTAAAGATAACTCTATTTGACACATGACAACGCAGATATTATCGGTATCTCTAAGAACCAATGTTCTCAGCTTGGCATTATTCTTTCATGAGCACAAATTTGAATCGGAATATGAAAGGGTAACTGTTGATATGTTTTTGTAGCTGACTCTTATAAAATGTCTTATTTGTGGTCGGTAACCGATAAGATAAACTCAATTGGCCAACGACGCCTAGTAATGCCTGACAAAGGAGTATGACTCTCTTGTTTATAAGTATATATATGGGTAGAATGTTCCGCAAGAGACTTATCGAATTGAATCCCCAGTTCCAGTTAAATATGTGAGCCATTTTATTGTGGCACTTACTTACAGATGCTCGGTTATGCGACTCCTTAGGTTTTTGGTTTTGGACTCGGTTATTATCTGGTTGATTATGATAGTTTGGGGATTGTCCATGGTCAGGATGTGGGTGACTAATGGAGAAACTGAGTCATACAGAGTGGCACTACTTAGCCCAGCTAATTGCCATTAAAATCGCATTACCTTAGCCGAAGCATAGGGCTTAGAACCAAAAGAAGATTTATCGCCGCTGGGTGTCACAAGGCGTATACGCTATTTTAGCAAACTACAACACCATCCACATGTTAATATCGAAAATGAATGTATGTACGTTGGATTACACGCGGAAACGAATTCAAACTCAAGTGAACCCAACTCACATAAATTATAATCTGTTTATTGTTATTATCCGCATTCAGTTTTTATACGAACTGTCTTCGTTTTTGGGTTTTTTATGCTGATATTTTTCAACAACTGTTTGTGTTTATCACGTATGCCACAAAAGCACTGGAATTACTTTTTATATATATGCCCATTATCTTGCCGAGGGCAGCGCGGTTTTCAGTCCGTATCAGAAAGGGAACTAATCGGCAAAGACAGGAGACTCCACCGTGCGAAGAGCCCATGATTGCAAGTCACCACACCAAAGTTGGACTGTGGTGAGCTGCGGTGGGTTCTCGGTTCCCCATTAGATAATCAGCGATTACAGGGTCCAGTGTTTTTTATTTCCCCTGCAAACAAACACTTGGCAAAACAATTTTTAATAGCCAACCCATTGACGGGTTTGCTGGTTCGAATATTTTGTGAGAAAATTCCAAGTGGAGTATTTTTAGACCCCCGATGCTGATGCCTCTGCGCTGTCTGTGGATTGTAAACAAAGGCGGGCGGTTCTATCAATTGATTGCCTTTAGAGTGGGCGGGTGGCAAGTTCGCCAAATATTATTCCACTGACACCCCTCGTTTTCCGGGGGAAAAAGAGAAGGGCTCCGACAGTCAACAGATCCCATTCCCGGCGAACTCGAGACTCGGAAAGATAAATGCCCGTCATCATGGATGTCTGTTAGCCCTCTACAGTTTTGATGAAATTTTTAGCCAAAACCATTCAACCCATCGTAAATACCTAAAATTCCCCTAGAATTTCATATTATTTTTATATTTTATCGTATATGTTTCTACCTTAGGAATACCTAAAACCCCTTAAAGCAGAAGCCAGCTGAAAAGAATCAATGATGGTATTTAAAACGAACTTACGAATTAATCGATCCCAAAAATAGTCTTGGCATGCTCTATCTAAAACTCATTTGGAAAGAGAATTCCCAGCAAGTGGTTGCTCATTTTATATTTTGAGAATTTTCTATGTACCATATAACCATTAGTTGGTTTATGGAGTGACAGGTTGTTGTAAAATTAATTTAAGGGAACTTAATGTGTTATATTGTGTTGAATATGATCCGCTTTAAGGAGGAGAGAAGTTAGAAAAACCAGAAAAACCACAAACAAACCACAAACTAGAAAATCATTCCACTAATTAATTGGTACATGCAATTGGCTTATCGTGGAAATAAATGCACAGCGGGAAAAGACAAGGGCCCCACCCGAAGCTCCAATGTGCGTGATAATATAAATGGAACGGAACTTTAAACGCTGCCCTACTTTCAAACATGTAATATAAAAGTAATATTTCTGGGCGTTCTACACTAGGGATGCTTTTTAATGTTTATCTAATATTCCGCTAGGTATGATATATTTTATTCTAATACTCAGGAGGTTGAAAACATGATAGCGAAATAAACAGAACTCAAAGCAAACAATAAACAATATCCCCAAGATGTTTCAACAACAATTCCCAGCCAAATGTGCGAAAGTGTAAACAACATTTAACAAAATCGAATTCTGAATCGAAAGAAACAGTTCAGGTCCGATTGGAAGACCAAGGTGCGGCCTTTAAGAGGGGGTGGCCATCCAGCTATTTCGCTATAATAACCCATTTTCTCAGTGACTCAATAAAAGTGCATCGGGTGGGAACAGTTGTGTAAACACTAACCAGCCGTCAGGCAGTGTTTGTCATGAAATTAGCCGTTTCCAGCTCTGATTTTCTAATCAGGGAACCTCGATTGCCATTATTTTCTTATGGCCGCCGGTTTAATTTGCTCACTTTTCCTACAAGTGCGAAACTTATCAACTGAGTCAGATACATTTGTCAGGAAAACATTTTTATAGTTGCATAATTAATCACCTCAACAAATGTAAATTCATTTTTTTAAACCAATCGCTTAAGGGTTGGCAACTATATTATTTCTGATCCCAGTTGTTAATGGCATGCAACTTACCCAGTTCAGGTGATGAATGATGTGAGCAACTTAAAGTTGTTTGCTGATCAACAAAGTTCTTCCTGTTGTTGTTGTCTTAGTTCGTTCTCTTTATAGTTATAGAAGATCAGTGGGGAACTTCGCGAATGGCAGTATCAGTACCTGAAAACACTGACCAGGTATAGATGGGTAAACACAAACTGTCGAACCTCTGTGAGAGTCTTTTGGGGTCTACGGGTTTTTTGTCGCCTTGCAAAAAGCCTTAACGAAACATGGTTTCGGTTTTAAATTTGACTTGCGTTACGAGCTGTGTGTGTTTTTATCAGGTTTACTTATGCAAATTGGATCTGGGAAGAGACTGCGGCTCAAGGTAGGTAACCGCGTAAACGTTTCTCAAGAAATCAAGAGATCCTCATATCCATAATGAGTATATAACGCGTCTCTGTCCCAATACTTTCAACGCACTGGCTATGGGGAATTCCCTGGGAAGTGGGTGTTAGTACTCGAACACACGCGAACCGGTTACGATGGTTCGGGTTTTTATATACCGGCAAAATCACACGCTAGCTAACGAATTAATTAGCATTGACATTCGTAATTCCGATATAATGATAGAGCGGCCCCTGTTCTGGCTGGTTGTTCGTTCAATGGAGTTTTCCGAGCTCCGAACGAGCAGCACCCACAGCCAGCGACGTCTTGATGAGAACTGAGGAGCTGCAGCGAAATGCCCAAGGAACTGCACAACAGACCTATACCCGAGTGGTTTCTCGCCGACTGTTTCGCTAATTGAAAGCCAGGCAAAACAAAGCGCCGAACAATACGAAATTTGATCGAGTGCCAACAGTGGCTCGATTGTGTCTGTGGGCAAACAAAACAATTATCGGACGACGAATGGACTTCTTGAGTGGAGTAGTGGCCCCAGGGGAAACACGGGTGATGGACTCAAATTTTTTAGTTTACCAATTAATTAGCATGGCGCCAGAGCAGCTTTTCGAGCCCACGAAGTTCTCTCTCTTTATAACAGTCGCACGAGATTTCTCTTTTGTTTTGATCGAGTGATAGAAGAACTGTATTCTTAGTGCGAGATAATCATAAGCTCATATTGATCTCTGCTGGGGTCTGACTTATGCTCATCAGCTGACAAAGACCGACCTTGAGAAATTAAAAGGAAAGCATTTAAGCTAAAACTCTCCTATCGGCTTAAATCTGTGAACGACACTTTTTTGCCTTATATAAATAAATGCAACGGCGGATGGGAACCAATAAAAGGAAGCCAAATCCCACGTCTCCACAATGGGAACCCAAGCATTAGCACGTAGAGTTGGGGCCCACAAATCGCTATGGATATATTTAGTAAAACTGAAACACAGCTCGACGTGTTCAGAGTCAGCTGTATTTGACCAGCCAAGTATAGTTCGTACCATCCATGGATCGGAGCAAGCAATATAATCGAGCATTACGCCCCTCAATAACATACAAATATTCAATTAAAAATCCCATTTAATAGTCGTAAAACGACAGGAACGTGTCGAATGATTCCGGGAGAGGATAGGAATAGGTGTTCCCTAAAGTTGCTTGCCGTCATTTGGCGAACTTGAGAAAAAGACAAAACTGGTTTTGGCATTGAATACATGTTCATAAATATATAGGTTCACCAAACAAAAAAAATCAGTGCGAAACAATTGGCGATACTCATGAAGAGACAACGCGACTGTTTGTTGTGGGCCGAGGCGAGACATTAATGTCGCATTATACGTTAAAGCCATCCGGCATGGCTATGGCTCCTCTGGTTTCGCAACTCGGTGGAGGGGCGGACTCCAAAAAACCCGGGCCTTGAACGAGGAACATTTCAAAGAGCGATCTCTAAATTCCTCAGGATCTCTTAATTGTTAATATTTCTTAGTATCAGTTTCACTATTATTTTGGCGCTCGACAAATCTTTTTTGATATTTATATTAAGAGATGTGCTTACTGGACCAGAGCAGCGGCTAGATAAGCGCGAGTAGTCAGATCTAATTGAGATATATATTCCGAACAATAAGCTTCCCGATTGACCCGCAAGTAAACTTCTTCATCGGCCGAATTCGCTGCGACTGAAACCACTCGTCTGCGAATCTCCAGTTTGGCTGGCTTTCCTCCAACATCGTTTAGACGGCGAAAAGCTGCTCCAGTTCAATGAAAAGCTTCTGAGTGCCAGCGGTGGTTTCCACCAGTTGACAGTTTTGGTCGAAAACTTTTGGGTTTCAAAAAACGCTAGATGTAAAGTAAAAAACAAAAAAGGAAGTTAACTTTGGCTTTACTTTGTTTCATATTATTTTCCCACCAATTTTCCGATCGTTCCTATGGCAGTTATATGATATAGTCGTCCAACTTTGATAAAATTAAATTCGAAATTCAGAACTAATTGAAAAATGTTATTTCCAAGCGGAGGAGGTTATATGTTAAAAAACACCAAAGATATATTTTTTGAAAAACTTTTTTTCCGATTATTCTTATGGGAGCTATAAGATATAGTTGTCCGATCCGGCTGGTTTAATAAAGCTATATTTTAATAAAACTAAAAAGTAAAGGACCACAAAAATGTTAGCAATCATTCTGTTATTTATTCACGTTAACTGTTTCACTTTATACACATAGTATTAGAGCCAATAAATTGGTTGATCGAAGTTGAAATAAATGTATATGTTATACTAAATAAAAAAGATAGGTATTGATCATTAAATTAATTTCGATTTGCGCAGAAACAAAGTCTTCATAAATGTAGGAGCCAGACAGACTTGGGAGGTGTTGGCATTTGTGAGCGTTACAGTTGGCGCGGCTGTCCGCTGACACAAATTTGCGCTGCTTAAGATCTCCTAGAATCTCAACGCTTAACCTTCAACCTTTTGTAGTTTCCGGCATCTCTTCGTTTATACGGACAGATATAATTCTAATATTTTTTATTTATTTATGCGAAATCAGGTGATGAGTAATTTGGTCAAGTTCAAGTTGTGTAATCTTATGTTTAAATCGACTTAAAATAATAAAAAATATTCTCGTTGTTTTAAAAACAATCGTGTGTTAAACTAAAAGAAGGTTTTAAAGTTTTTTCAGTTTTTTTTATAGTTTCTTACGTTATAAACCGACTATTAGTTTAACACGCGGACGAGAAAACGGCCTTTGGTTTGACATTTCAGTTAGATAACATATGCAAGTTTAGAGATAAAATGTACCTCTAACTGAACACGAGACCAAGAAAATGGTTCTTAGATACATTCTATACTATTACATAAAGAGATACCAAAAATACTCGAAAATTTCAAATTCACAGCCACACTATACTATTTTGTCGAAGACCTTTTAAAGTCACATTTAATATGAAAATCATACCATTTTTTCAAATATTTTTTTCAATTTGTTACGGTTTCATATCAAAATTTGTAGTTGATATGATTTTGCATCACATTGATCTGCATTTGTGTTAGTATGATATGGCAAAGTGGATGTGTTAAAATTGACGAGATGATCTCTATGTAGTTAAGTTAACGTTATAAAAATTCAGTGTTTACATCAATGACTAGTTTTATGTGACCGACGCCGTCCTCGTGAAGTGGTTTAATGATCCTCCCGTCGTATTTCTACTTCTGGATCTGCTACTGGCAGCACTCCATGTGGGCTTAGGATTGTGCCTAGGAAGAAAATGTAGTTACTATTTGATAGGAATAAGGGCTTATAATAACAACTACCACCGTGTCACAACAAATAAAAGCTACATATGTGAGGACAGGAGGCAAACACCATTCTAAGAGTAAGCACAACAAGTTAAAAGTGAAAACTAAAATGAGGTTTTTAACTATTAATTCCCATGCATTTTTTGGTTTGAAACCTACTTTAAGTTTAACATGAGGACGAGAAAACAGTCCTATGGTGCTTCAAAACATACACAAAACGACAGACCCGCTTTGGTCTCACATGCAAGATCATCAAGCGCCTTATTAGTAAAATTTCCAACACCAAGTTAACAAAAACAGAGTTCCTTTCGGATTACCTATTACAGGACATTTCTATCATATTCCGTATTCTCAAGCGAAATCTCTTCTTCGCTGTCAAGGGCATCTTCTCTCTCACCCAAAATTCTGCTCAGGCAGGAGCAATGAATGGACATGATTATTCGAGGGACTATCAGAATTGAAAATTACTTACCGATCCCTCAAGAGCTTTAGCGTGCTGCGCTTTAGAATAAACAGCACAAATATGATAATTCCCTGAGACCAGTTGAAGTAGTCCGCTACCAGAAAAACGTTGGCCCAAGTTTCGTTGGATTGCACCAAGTAGGAGATTATCTCCAAGCTCCACGACATACCCATGATGATGAAAAGCCGCAAAAAGAAGGTGTAACTAAATGGAATCATGGAATTTAAATATTGAAGTAAATTTTACATTTTAATTACGTTTGCTTGTCCGAGTTTAGCTTGTGCTTTCTCTCCTGCTTGTGTGCAAAGTTCTGTATGTCCTTCTTCACTCTTATTATACGAACAGCCGTCAGGATGAACATGGCAATGTTGAAGGCTATCAGCAATACCATCGGTCCATAGAAGTAGAGCATGGCAGACCAATCTAGAGCTGTGAATGGAAGAGGAAAGCTACATAAGCAGGAAATATTCAGAAAGCGAAATGCGGAACCCACTATAGATCCAACAATGTCCTTCGTTGCCCATGCGAGGGTTCCAGTCCTCGTTAACTACCATCTTATCGGCCAGAAAGGTGATGCCGGTCAAGATCAGCGCCATGCCCCAGGCGTAGGTGTTGTAGGCCAGAAACCGATGCTCGGGCAAAAAGCGATTGATACTGTGTGAGGTGCCACTGAATGTATTCCACAGGTGCAGACTGATGACAGAAAGCCAGAAGAAGGCGGCCATCACGAAAAAGTAACCCAGGTAACCTGCTGTAAGGCAGAAGCTGAACGACAAATTCCACAAGTCTAGTAGCAGGAAGAAGTAGCCCATGAAGAGACAAAGCATGTAGCACAGGAAGCACTTGCCGTGCAAGTTCTGTAACTTTTTAACGTAAAGATAAACGCACATCGTAAGAACCATACAAACCAGCGATGTGATAATCACTGTGGGAAGAGGGAAATAAAAGGTCAGGAAGGACACAGGTATACCCATACTCCGCAACTTACCCACGGTCTGTGCCGTTCTGGATGGCACTATAACGCAGTTGTGTGGCGCTATTCGAATGTATGTGGTATTGTCATCTGATTCGAACTCAAAATGCTGAAAGCAGTACTCTCGCTTGTTTAGAGTCACGCTGTCATAGTGGCGGAAGAAAGTCCCATTCTGGAAGAAATTACCGATTAATCTTGCCACATTCTTTACATAGCAAGCAAACCTCGAACAATGTGTACTGATCCATTTCATCTCGATTGTCTAGATAGAACATATCCTCACAGGGCATCGGTAGATCCCACTGGACAATTAGTTCGTCCTTAAAGTGCCTTGTGACCTCCGATCCGTCCTTGAGGGTCACGTTCAGGTAAGGGTCGTGTTCTTCAAGTTCTTCCTCCGTCATGTTTTTGGAGCACACACCCCCCCTCATTATGTGGTTGTGAGGGCAGCAAAACCTGACGCAGGTTTTCAATTTGCAAACACATCCCCTTATGTGGCTCTCCACCTTTTCCTTTGATTCGTCCGGAAGAATCCTGAAGTTATATATCCCCGTCAACTCGGCGGGAATGAGTAGCCCGTCATATAGATACGAACCATTCGGGAACCTTTGACCTGCCGAAATATCGACAGTGTCAAAGAAGTCGCAATCGTAGATATCTGCCTTTGTTTTTGGCAGAACTATCAAAGAAACAGCTAAGACCCATATATAAAGTAATACAGATATATTCGCATTTCGAAATATCAACATTTCGAAAAATCCGCATTTGTCTGCAAAGAAAGTTAAAGTTAAAAGGTTTTTGTTTACTACATAAATATTTTCAAACTGTGTTGACAGGAATGCAAATTTTAAAAATTTGTATAAATTGTTATGCCGTTTATATTTCATAATTCATATCGTCTTGTGGAAATTGGCTTTCTTGTGAACGTTGTAAGCCGTAACAGCATTGCCTCATGTTAGGTCACACATTTTCAACAAAAATGAACATCTTTGAGAGGCAAAAACTTAAGTATTATGTTGATTTTTGATTTTTTCAAATGGACCCAGTACTCCACAAATTATGAATCATTTGGAATTTCCGGGTTGCCCGATAGCAAATTATCAAGTTGGAGAGGGGCGTCAAAAAATCCTCTTATCGTGGTAACAGTCACAAAATATTTCTAATTTTAAAAATAATTTGAAAGTGAAGTTTTTGTAAGTGCAAGTTAAGAAGAAACTCAAAAAACCTATGCACCAGTTTATCACCCACAATCAGTTCTTTTATTAGTTTGAGTCATTTTTTGTTTTTAAGATACTACGAACGCACGAGTAAAGTAATGCTTCAAAATATTACATACAGATACAGATACATATGTGTCTTGCATCATATGGAGTTGCCTTGTTAACGACTACCCCACACGCGTAGGTCCGAAGAGAGGGTGAACTTTAAGGGCGGCGTGCGCCTGGTGGCGCTCGATTGGTGCGATCGGGGCGATCGTTTTATTCTGTTAACAATTCAAATCAGCCTCATACATTTCAAACTAACTTAATCTTACCGCAGTGTGCCCTCCTACGATTCACAAGACAATGAAAAGCACAATTTATGGCGGCATCCATTAAACCGATATTAGTAGGCCCGCACTTCAAGGGCCAAGAAATCCATACGAGATCGGATAAATTAACAAATACTAGATTTCTCTTACAATACTTAGTTTACCTATCGATTACAATGTTCGACCGTCGACATCCCCGACCCCGTGAAGAACCGCTTCACTCAAATCCAAAACTGCAAGTTTTGAGACGGGCCGCAACATTGTCCGAGATAGGCCATTGTCGTTCACGCGCACAGTAGCGCGTCTGACGACTCCATCAGCTCCGCTGTAGACCTCCTCCACGATTCCCTTGCGCCACTCTCGTCTGGGCAAGGCAGGATCGCAGACGAAGACCATATCGCCCTGGCGGATGGGCTCCGTTCTCCGGCACCACTTCTCGCGGCGCACAAGCGTAGGCAGGTACTCCAGGACCCACCTCCTCCAGAAACGGTCTCGCAGCATGCGAGCAATCCTCCACTGCTTTCGCGTAGAACCCTCCTTGGGCAGCTCCGCATCCAATCCAGGCGTATTCGGCAGGTTAGCTGCTCCCTTGAGCAGATCATTTGGCGTCAACGGCGCCTCTTGGTCCGCATCCACCGGCAAGTGGGTGAGCGGACGCGAGTTGACTACATTCTCCGCCTCGATCAGGAAACTCTCCAACACATGATCCTTCGGCGCAACTTCCTTCAGGGTATGGCGCAGCACTCGTTTGACGCACTGCACCATCCGCTCCCATACTCCGCCCTCAGACGGGTTCGACGGGCAATTGAAATCCCATTCAATGCTTCTGCTGGACAACTCACTCTGTATCCTCTCCGTCTCGAACACGTCTCCAAATCGCTTGGCCTCCCTGTCAGCTCCCACGAAGTTCTTGCCGTTATCACTCCGCAGTCTATGTACTGGTCCTCTACGGCAGACGAAGTTCCTCATCGCTATTATGCAGGAATCCGTCGACAGGTCATGAGCCAACTCCAGATGAATCGCCCTTGTCGTCAAGCATGTGAACAAGGCGACCCAACGCTTCTCTCTGTGACGGGATACAGTCACCAGCAGTGGCCCAAAGTAGTCCAATCCGGTGTACTTGAATGGCCATCCTCCCGCTTCCAGTCGATCCTCTGGTAGGGGTCCCATTATCGGCGGCATCGGCCGCGTTCGCTGCAACTTGCACTCGTTGCACGACGAGATTACTTCCTTCAGCACTCGTCTCATCTTCGTGACCCAGAATCTCGTCCGAATCTGAGCAATCGTCGCATCCACGTTTTGATGCTTCATCTGGGCATGAAAGTGCCTCACAATCAAATCCGTAAGACTGTGCCTGTGTGACAGTATTACGGGCCTCCTCGCACTGTACGGCATGCACAGCGCGGCATCAACTCTGCCATAAACTCGCAGAACTCCATGTTCATCCACGTAAGGCGCCAGACCTCGAATCTCACTCGAGCTGGCGACGTCCTTTCCGCATCCCGCCGACCTCATCTCGTCGGGGAACGACTCCAACTGGGCCTGTCTGACTAACAGGTTCTCCGCGGCCTCACACTCCGATGCAGTGAGTCCGTACTCCTCGATCTCGCTTCTCTGCTTGCGACACCAACGCGCAAACCTCAAGACCCATGCTGTGGTCCTCACCAGGCGACTGAAGCTCGAGAATCTCTGGAACGGAATGGCAAATTCATCCGCGGCCACCAATGCAAACTCACCGGGCATCTCCTCTTCATCAGGCGCATCTGGAACACGCTTAGTTCCCTCCTCAGGCGCCGGCCAGCCGCTCGCTGGCTGTCTCAAAAATGCGGGTCCACTTAGCCAACGTGATTCCGGGCTAAGGTCCGCCTTATTCTGCGACCGCGTCGCATCATCCGCTGCGTTGTCAGCTGTGGGTACCCACCTCCACTGGGAAACCTTCGACGACTCCAAAATCTCCGCCACTCGGTTGCCAACAAACTGCTTGTACCGGCGGTGGGTGCTGCCGATCCATCTCAGCACCGTCTTTGAGTCCGTCCACAACACCGTCTCGCTGATGTCCACACTGTGCTCCTCCTGGACAGTGTTCATCAGTCTGGTTCCAAGAACCGCTGCCTGCAGCTCCAACCTTGGGATCGACATCGTTCTCATCGGCGCGCACTTCGTCTTTGCGCACACGAAGCTAACCATCACGTTGTCATCCTCGTACGTGACCCTCCAATAGGCCACCGCCGCGAATGCAGATTGACTTGCATCCACGAACACGTGCAACTCGACGTTCCGGACTGCTCCATGCCCGAAATAGTGACGAGGGCATCGGAACTGTCTCACGGCGTCCATCTCCCTGCGCCAGGCCGCAAAGGCTCTGCCTATCTCCTCCGGTAGTGGTTCGTCCCACTGGATCTTCTGCCTCCAGATCTCTCTCAACAACAGCTTCGCTGTAATCATCAGGCAGCACAGGAATCCCAATGGGTCGAACGTTGACATCAGCAGGCTCAAATACTCCCTCTTTGTAGGGACTCGATCTCCACTTAGAACGCTACTTGGCACTCGGTGATACTCCACGTTGAACCTGAAGTCGTCCGTGGCTACCTGCCAGCGCATTCCAAGGATCTTCTGCTCAGCCTCACCCCATCCGACGCTCTTGACTTGTCCGGGTGGTCCCAACGCCGCTTCCACGATGGGTGAGCTGGATGAAAACTGGCATAACTCGAATCCAGCCTCCGCATGTATCTCCTTCACTCGGGTAGATACACTTATAGCTTCGCTCTCTGTAGCGAAACTGTCCACATAGTCATCGACGTAGTGGTAGTCGATGATGGCCTTGACTGCCCTCGGGTCTGAATCCCGAAACTTCAGGGCATTCACCGTCTTTACGTAATGCGCAGCGCTCGGCGAGCAGGCTGCTCCAAAGGTCATTACGTTCATCTCGTACACATCCGGGTCTCGATCGTCGTTGCCATCTCTCCAAAGGAATCGTTGGGAACATCGATCCTCGGGTCGGATCAGCACTTGGTGGAACATCTCCTTGATGTCACCGCAGACTCCGACTGCTCCTTCCCTGAAGTGGAAGAGCACGGCTGGCAAGGGCTTGTAATGCTGAGGCCCCTTGTCCAGCGCCGAATTTAGCGAGGTTCCTCCAACCTTGGCTGCAGCATCGAACACAAGCCGGACCTTACCGGGCTTGTTCGGGTTTTCGACACCAAAATGTGGCAAATACCATAGCCGGTCGCTCGTCACCGCGACCTCATCCTGCTGCAGCTTCCTCGCATATCCTTTGGATACGTAATCCTTGATGATACGATCGTATTCCAGCGCCAACTGCCCGTTGCGCTTCAACTTCTTCTCCACATTGATCAGCCGTCTGTGCGCCATCTCATAGCTCCGTGGCAGCACAGCGTAGTCGTCCTTCCAGAGTAATCCCGTCTGGTAGCGACGCCCCACTTTCACCGTGGTATCTTCGAGGATCCTTTGTGCCCGCGCGTCATCGCTGCCTGCGACCTGTGGCGCGAGCTTCACACCAAAGCTTTCCATCTCGAAGTAGTCCTCCACCATCTTTTCCATCGTATCATCCATTGACACGGCTAGAAGGCAGGACCTCGGTGACGGCGTAGTCGATTGCCCACTTACTGGCCCAAACACAACCCATCCAAGCTCGGTTGCGGCCGCATACGGTCCCTCTCTGGCAAACCGCCTCGTCCTAAGTGGCAATCCCAAATGTCCATGGTCCAGTCCGATGAGCAACTTAGGCACCACGTTGATGTAGGGCTTCATCGGCAGACGCGCATCCTTATGCACGCCCTGGACATCTCGTCGACCTAACGTCTGCATTGGCAGACTCAGGCTCGAAACGGAGTACACGTTCCTTAAAGCGTGGCGAGTGGAATTCCCAGCTCCACTTATCTCTAGGCTCACCACGTTGCTGGGCTCTCTGCTGGCCCTTCCTCCAAACCATTGTATATTCAGCTGTCGATGTACGCCTCGCACTCCCAGATCCCTCCGTAGCTCGTCATCGATCATCGTGACGGAGGATCCTTCATCCAAGAGCGCGTATGTATCCACCTGGCGACCAGCTCCGTACAGCGTTACTGGCAGTATACGGAACAAAAGTCGGCCTCCTTCGGCGTCAACGCAGTTTAAGTTCCTCTGCACGGGTGCCTCCGCTGGCTGCGGGGCCCTTATCTCCAGGCTGTTTCTGGGGACAGCCGACTGTAGGCTCCCCTCGTGGTCCCTGTAACCACCTCGTGGCGAAGACCTCCTGTCCGGGCCGCGTCTGGAAACTGCTGACTGCTGGTTTCCTCCGTTGTGGCTCCTGAAGCCACCTCGCTGCGCCGGCCATCTTCGCTCCTCGTCCGCACCATGTAGCAGACGGTGATGCAATCTGCGGCATCCGTTGATCTGGCACTCGCCATGTACATCGCAGGTTCTGGTCGTATGTCCACTCCGTAAGCATGTGAAGCAGAGCCGATGCCTCCTCACCATGCTCCACCTACCCGGTGGCGAAGCTCCAATGAACTCCCTGCAGCTCGTCGCAGCATGTTGCCCTCCACAAATTGGACAACCTCCATGCCGATCATCCTGTTGATCGCATCCGTTCTGGTCGACGCTCGCATGTAGAACTCGACGCCTCGGCTCCTTTCCCTCGACGTCCAAAACCGTACACACGACGTTTGCGTACTCCTGCAGCCACACGCTGAAGTGCGCCACAGTGGGAAAGGGCTCGATCGATGCAGCGTGCCTGGCCCAGTCTACTCGCTTGCTCGTAGGAAGCTTTGCCACAAGCTCCTCCATTAGCGTTGGGTTCCGCAGGTGCTGCTCCGCCTTCGCTGACTGCAAGAAGGCCGTGAGGTTACTCACTCGGGTTGCAAAGGGAACGATCCTCGCCAGGTGCTGCTCCGAAATCGGCGGCACCTCTCGCACGCTGTTCAGCTGGCTGCGTATAAGCTGCTCCGGTCGGCCGAACCTAAAGCGCAGCTGCTCCATCACGGCGCTGACGTTCCCAGGGTGAATCAGCAGCGACTTCACTGTCTCGCGTGCTTCATCCTTCAGCGCCTTCAACAACCTCTGGTTGTTCTCCAAGTCTGTGCAGTTGTATGCTTGGGTCGTCTCCACAAACGCACAGTTAAAGATCGGCCACTCCTCGGGCTGCCCTCCAAATACAGGCAGGTCCGGAAGCTTCCTTGGCCCGTACACTCTTTGGGATTCATTCGGCGTTATCGGGGCGTAGGACCCAACAAATGGCGATGCTGTTGCCACGTTGTGGGTGCTCCCGCCCGGTAGCACGAATCCATGCGCTGTCTGCGCAACACTTGTAGCACACAGTGGCTCCACAAAATGATTGCTAGTCGTTAGCAATGGCGGTCCACTCCAAGATGGCGGCAGCGTGCAGGCCGCACTGCTCGCACCGACACCGCTATGTGGGACCGGCCCGACCCCGTTAGTTGAGGCCTCACCGTTAGATATGGCTAATGGCGGTCCGCTCCAAGATGGCGGCCGCCCCGACGCTCCACTGATGGCGCCATCTGCGCTTGGGCCAACTGCGATTGGCGCGCAATTGGCGGTGCTCACACTGTTCAGGGCTTTAACCTGCTTTAGCTCCTCCTCCAACGCCGCAATCCTTTTCAAAAGGTCCGACGTGAGGGACTGGTTCGTCTCCGGCTCTGATCCCGCAGCTGTGACAGCAGTACTCCTCGGTTGGGACGCTACTGTAGTCACCGTAGTGGCTGGGCTAGAAATGGCCGCCGCCGAGGTTATGTTCACTCGCGGCCGGTTTTCTGCTCCACTACTCACTGGCTGCTGATCCGCTCGCGCTGCTGTAGGGGTGGCTTCCCCTCCTCTCAGCCGCGAGCTCCTCTTCGGGGAATGCTGCATCCTAACAGGTCCAAATACGGCGCTGCCTCAGCGCTCTCCAAAATGGCGGCACCTGTGCCTTCTGGCCGCTGGCTGCGGCAGGCGATGCTTGACGCTCCTTGCGTCTTCTGGCCCGCTGTCTGCGGACCCCGTGCTTGGCGCTCCTTGCGCCTCCTGACCGCTGTCTGCGGTCTCCTTAACTGACGCGGCCTGCGTCTCCCTGTCGCTGACTGCGACTCCGTCCGTACCCAGTGTTCGGCGCTGTCTGCGCCCGTCTATGTCGCTGCCTGCGACTCCTCTACTGGTACGGGAATTGCTCCTGGCAACTCTCTAGCTGGTCGTCAAGCCGTCCTCCAGCGCAAGTTGCCCTTACAGTCTCCCTAGGACTGCGAATAAAAGGAGTTGTCTTGCATCATATGGAGTTGCCTTGTTAACGACTACCCCACACGCGTAGGTCCGAAGAGAGGGTGAACTTTAAGGGCGGCGTGCGCCTGGTGGCGCTCGATTGGTGCGATCGGGGCGATCGTTTTATTCTGTTAACAATTCAAATCAGCCTCATACATTTCAAACTAACTTAATCTTACCGCAGTGTGCCCTCCTACGATTCACAAGACAATGAAAAGCACAATTTATGGCGGCATCCATTAAACCGATATTAGTAGGCCCGCACTTCAAGGGCCAAGAAATCCATACGAGATCGGATAAATTAACAAATACTAGATTTCTCTTACAATACTTAGTTTACCTATCGATTACAATGTTCGACCGTCGACAATATGTAATATCCCATAAAGCAACTTCAAGAACACATCAAACATTTTAAAAACTAGGGAAATTATCGCTTTTCGCCTTGGGTGGCATCTCTGGCAGTCTCTGAAGAGAACGGCACGAACTTCTCTTTTTAGAATTAAAAATGAAACTGAAGAGAAATTTAAGAGACAAGAGATACCGCGCGCTTCCATGCATGTGCCCTTTTGTCTATATTATTTGTTTGTCAAGAGAACAGTTCCGAAAAAACAACTATTGGCAATCTTCTTGTTTCGTTTTTGTTATTTACATTGTCAGCAAAATAAACCAGGGGGCATCATATTTAATCACATCTGAAAAGCATCACAAAAAATGCACTTAGCACGCACATTTGCCTTGGAAAAATATCATACTTTTCGCTGTTCGCAAAAAATGTATCTGGATGTACTATATCGAAGCACATGATCTCCACCTAGCACGCAATCTTGCCATAAAAAAATTTTAATTTTGGCTTTTGGCAAAGAACAAAAAGCTTTTTGCGTTCTGACGTGTCACTTTAAAGTTTAAACCTACTGCTGATCTGAACGGTTTACATTCTTTTTATGCGTTGCCACAGGTGCTAGAACCGGAAGGTAGGAAGCGGAACACCGTTGAACAAAAAGCGTCTAGTATTTCTTACTTAATGTTGCTTACATCTAAGTCTCTTTCAATTATATTTAGAATGCCTCCCTTACTGACGAGAGTACGATCGAAACTGATTCCAATATAACATTCTGTCGGCAGGGAAATTATCAAGTTTTGTATGTTATTTGTGTGCGTAATTTGCACCCCAGTTGGGAACGAAATGATCACAAAACGCTCCGTGTTGCATCTGCATGCAGTTTCTTTCCCGTATCCCGCGATAGATTCTGATCAGCAATGGTACTGTTACTGCTCCTGTACATATGTTAATCATAATTTCCAATGACTATAAAGTTTACTTTCATTTCATGTTATTATACATTATACATTTCATGTTATTGTACACTCCCGCTGGAAGCGGTGAGCTCGAGAGAGAATGTCCCATTTCTTGTTCATACGCTTACGCCCAGTTTGATCGCATTAAGTCGAACTCAACATCGATAATCTTTTTTAAACGTGAAACCATCGAAATCGATTGGTATTGAATTACGTTTGCTTACGTCTTACGTTTGCTGGCAAAATTCAGTGTGACCGCAGCATGGCCAATGAAAAATTCCGGCATGAGCGCAAATGAAAAATTTGGCATAATGGGCCTCATGGGAACTGGCCACACATCAACAAAAAATTTTTCGTTGGTTCAGTTTCTTTCGGTTTGTTTTCGTTTGTTCCGTTTCCGAGAAAACCCCCAAGAAGTGTGAAAGACTTAACTTTAAATCGAAATCTCTCATTCTTGTTTATTGTCGACCGGTCCTAGTGAATTTAGTTGCGTTTTTTCGCCGATTTGTTGTCTTTTCCACAAAGCCGCTGCTGAAGTGTGAGTGTATGAGTGTCGGTGTCTGTGCACGAAGTGCGTGTGTTTTTGTTGCCCCTTCCCGAAAGTGTTTAAAACATATTTTGCATTTATTTAATAAAAAAAGAAGGAAAAGTGCAAGCATTCAGTGCAAGTACAGCAGCGCAAAGAAAGAGGTGAGAATCCACATCCTCTCCCACTCCCCTTCGTTTACTTTTGGTATTGCAACTCCTTTTTGTTGTAGTGTGTGTAATTATTATTATTATTCTTCTTCCCCCTTGTCCGCTTGTCTGCATCGGTCCCTCTCCCACACACAGCCTCCTTCAGACTTAATGCAGGCGGAAAGGAGAGAGAACCAAAGGTTGTTCAATAGCCGCAGATAAGAGAGAATTAAGGAGAACGGAAGATAGTAAAGATGCACTGCAATTAAACGTTGATTGTTTGTTTACAAATTCTTCAATTAACCGTAACTGCAACTGCCTCTCGCCCTTTTGATTTGCCCAAGTTGTCTTGAGCAACAACAAATACCTTTGACCCAAGCGATAGATTAGAGCAGAACAAAAGGAAGGAGGAAAAATGATAGAAGCGCAAATCAGCTGCTATATTACACTGAGAAAATAAGTGACCAATTTTTTTCATTGATTTTTTTTTCATCTTTTACTCTCCTATTCTCTTGCTGAGTATTCAATAGGTAATCTTGTTTAAAAAGGTTTACTACTTAGTGAGGATTTTAATTATATTAAATAATAATCTAGAACAGATTTGGGCGAGTGCGTTCGGGAGTGTATGAGTGTCGCCCGGGTCTTCAGCCAGGGACTGTGTTGCATGTGGAATATGAACACGAAAATAGCATATTCGGAATGTTGAGCGCTGAACAAACACTCGCGGGGTGCGCTCCTCCCTGCCCCTTCCTCTTCCCCAGCCCCCAGATGCAATAAAAATTAAAAGGCAAACAACGATAAGCGGACTAAACCCCGCCTTGGGTGACTACCCCATGCCTTCCTCTGGGGTCGCCACCCCTTCCACGTCGAACACATGGCAACCCTGAGGCATAACGGTTTAGGCAGGCATAAAATAAAACCCAGCAAATGCATACGCCAGCCGATAATTAATGCCAGGCCAGCGTAATTGATGCGTCGCCGGCACGAGAGAAAATCAATCGGGGAGTAGGTATAACCAGTTTTCCCCCAGAGTTCCCTGCTCCATTTTAAAAGCAATTTGCCAGAGGGTGCCGCCACCAGGTGGACCACAACCCTCGTAGCCGGGAAATTCAATTTGGTCCAAGCTTTTGCTTTGAGCTCCCCCAATTTCATTTCTTGAAGCATACTTCATTTAATATATAAAATATAAAGGAGTGTAACACTGATTTCGCTATGTATTATAGAAAATTTGTTTAAAATTTAGCAAATTAATGTGCACAAAGCATTAGTTTACAATGTAAGCTGTACAATAAACTAAAGCTGCAAGTAAGAAATCTAAATGCTAAAAATTTTAAAAGTGGCGCATCATAGCTCATTTTACTTTTATTAGGGTTGCCAGGCGTCAAAAACAACTCGTCCTCAAAACGAAAACTGCCTTGAAGGATGTCGGGCGTAATTGAAGTTGAGTGACGTCGGGTTGTCCCCTGCTTATCGTCATGCCCCCTAAAACCCACATCTGAAAGCTTATCTCAACGCCCGCTTTGTTTTGCCTAGGCTTTTTTGTTCTCCTTGTGGCTTTCGTTTCGAATTTCGTTTCCTTGGAAGTCCCACGTCTGCGGTTTTCATTACCCCATACGGATCCATTGTGCCCGTTGCCCTTGTCTCTGGAATGGTTTCATTGATTGAGCAACCCCCGAGTGAGGAGCACTCGACAATCCGAACCCGAGATCACAAGTACTTGCCGAGAGGCGGAGGTCAGGCCAGGGAAAATGCCCTTAGAAAGTGCTAGGCCAGCTTTATAGACTCCAACCGGTTTGGCAAGAGGTTCTCTTCAGTTCAAGCGAACGAAGAAAGAGTCGCTGAAAGAAACGGAAGCTGGGGCTGCCCCCAGACCGTTATTCGGTCAACGGAATGGAGAAAGAGCTGCGTAAACAAACAAACATTAAATGCAAATATCTGCCCCAATGATAATTTCGCTCAAAAAGTCGGTCAACGAACCGAAAAAGCAGGGAAGAGGGGCTCAACAATGGGGCACCGCCTAGGTGTTGTCCATTTCGATTTCGATTTCATAATGAAAAGTCAAAGCGGCTGACTGCCCATTGACAAGCTGCCCTAAATGGACGCCAAACTAAACTGGCTTCCGGGCAAATATGGCGCCCAACGTGGAGCTGGCACTCTGCCTCGATTCCCGCTTCCCACTTCATTCATCTAGTTTCGTAACCCTGTCCCGTGGGCGCCTGAGAATGACGCAACCATCCATTAGCTTGTTTTTAATAATATTCTGATGGTGTTCTGATTTGATAACCTGTTGATAATCTAGGCAAATATTGCAAATGTCCAAATGAAAGGTCGGTGAGAGATGGTGAAAAATAATATAAAATTAAATTAAACTATGTTTATAGTGCCGGATTTAAAGCTTTTGAAAGTGGTTTAGAAAGGGGCGAATAGTTTTTGCCCATTTCTTATAACAGATTCGATTGGCCACTGTGTATTTTCGATTTATGGTATTTATATACTGATGATTTAAACAGACTGATAATGAAACGAGGGTAAATGTCGATGAGGAAACGTACCGGAGGTGCTCCTATTAACGGTCGATCACTTTGTGTTCTTAAGCCACATTTATTTATTGCCCATTTGTGATTTCTTTGGGACACCACATAAATTACCTGTATGTCACTCTATTTTAGTTATGTGCTATGTCTTGTATTAGTTTTGCTGCTAGATCCGTCCGCTTTACCCATCTTTCTCTTTCGCCTGACAACAGTCCGGAAACGTATTATTTATATAGAACAGCATACAGAAATATCTCTCCCTATACTGAGATATTTTTACTTACGACAATTGCGGCTCTCCCTGCTAATGAAAAAAACCAAAAAATAGTGCGTTTTTAGAAATTCAAGATTCAAGAAAGTAACCTGTGCCTCATTTCGTTATCGATAAAAGAGGCTTAACACCCCCGATATGTGGCTAAAAGCGACCACTGACTCAAGGGAACTCGCTAGTTAGCCCCCGTTCGATAATTACTAGCAACTGCATGGTAACTACGGCAAAAGCTCTGTATCCCTCTTCTTGGCCCTTTTTAATTCGCGCCGTGTCCGCATCGCGGAGCTCAACAAAAGCGGGTTTAACCCAGTTTAGCAGAACAGTCGACGTCTGCGGAAAATAAGGTTGAAAGGTAAAATAGGTGGAATAGTGCTTACAATTCTGCACACACAGATACTTGGGTCTGCGTATATTAGTCGAGAGCATTTAAGCCAATTACACGGCACATCAATCATTAGCAAATACGATTTGTGCCACACGGCTTGGGGCAACTGCACTGAAAGAATCTGAATGAGTTCGGTGGGTGCGGTGGTCAAGGTTTTATTGTGCCCGAAATTGGGAAACCATCAAATTAGATGCCTGTATTTGTTTACTTAAAGACGTTACTTAAACAAGACTATTTGCTTACTTAAAAAAAAGGTGGTTTTAGATAAGCAATCTATTTTATTGATCCTTAACCCATAAATGTTTTCAAATATGTTTTTAATATTTGTGTTTTAAACATATGATTATGAAGATTAGTTGAGCTTAGAAGCCAAGTTTCAAGATTTAACATGAGTTCCGGAAAGTCATACAATTTTTTCGTAGTGCACACATGCTAAACGAGCCTGTATTAGTACAGCCCCCTATACTATGTCATATCTACAAGTTTGACAACAGTTATACTGGGCTCTTCGATGGGCCGCGAGACAGAGAAGGCCTGAAAGACAAATTATTAGTCACCCAGCACTTGTCGTTTGTCAACGACTTCGTTTGTTTGCCTGGGCTTGCACTACGTGGAAGTATGCACCATCCAATTCCGCGGGGCCCATGGAAATGAGGGACAGGAAAACCGAACCCAACGGCCTGGGTTGTTAGGAAGTGAGTGAGTGAGTGAGTGAAGTAGTGTTTCGAACATAAAATAACAACTAAGAAAATAAACAACAGCAGCGGAAAAGGAGGCGAGAGCTTTTTTATTGCTTTTATCAAGCCGTAAGTCGGTGCACATAAAAACCTCGTTCTCACCACCTCTCGTTTTTCAGTCAATCATACTTCCATCCACATGAAAAGGAGCCGAGGGAGGCAGTCAAGTTAACTGGAAACAAAACAACCAGCCAGCATATAAAGCAAACGAATACAAACACTCTTGCCAATTTATCGAATAAACAAGAAGCCGAGCCAGGAGACCAAGAGCCCCGCCAGCCAAGGAGCTCCTTCTCCGCAATCAGCGCCCTCCAACGTGAAATACGTACTTTCGCACCCCTCGATCCCGACCGAATCATGGAGTTCATGGAGTCCGGTCATGTTTGAGCGCTTCCGACTGAGCAACCTGACCAGAACCTTTCGCCTGAGAGGAGGCGGCCCAGAACTGGCGCGCGACAAGAAGAACCCGCAACGGCAGCAATGCGTCACCGTCCTGTTCCTAGATGACATCACGCACACCTTTCGGATCGAGGTAAGACCCCACCTGGCAGGCCTCTAGTTAACATAGTTCCAACCCCCAAAAGCCCATTAACGAGTCTATTTGGCCATGGTTTCCAAGTCAAAGAATAATTGATTTAATGGGCAATATAACAGCATGAGTGTACTGTGCGTGTATCGGCAAAGATCTGGCTGAGAAAAATCTGGTGCCTATAATATTCAAACCGCAACTGTTTGCGTAGCAGTCGCATTAGCCATGCTCTTAATTAATCCATATGCGAATCGTAGTCAAAACAAAGAAAGTTTTCAAGTCTTCATCTGTTAATCATCACTATTCATTTATTCACTTTATATCTACATTTTTTGGCTCTGCACTCCAAGCTCACTTTCATCTCCACTAGCATCTCCAGACACGCACTTGTCCGCATTGTTTCCCAATCTCCATCCGAGGTTTCACTTTCTTTCACCTCAATGATCGACTAGTGTGTGCTGCGGTTGCTGCAGATGAAAATTATAATCGAGATGGGATCTGTCTACCAAATAGCAACTAAATGGAAGTCTCTTAATCACTGTAATTGCACCGTGGGCAACAGAGGCAGAAGTTCCAGCAAAGATTTGCTTTCGAGGTTGCTTTTTATTTGAGACGAAATTGGCCTAGAAAGCAAAAGCATGAGCTTAGCTAGCTAATGAAAATTTTATTTATCGTCATTCTGTCTTCTTTTTTAGAAACGTGCGAAAGGATCTGAACTCTTGGATCAGGTCTTTCAATATCTCGAGCTATCCGAAAGGGACTACTTTGGCTTACTATTTCCGCAGAAGCCGGGTGACGTTGTGGTAAATCATGGGTCTCCCCATTTTTATAAAGCATTTCTAATATCTCTTCTTGTATATTTCCAGAGATGGGTGGATGCCCAGAAGCAGTTCAAGAAGCAATGCAGCAGCGTTTCGCTCGACAACGATGCCGTTCCATTATTAGAATTTAGGGTTAAGGTGAGCTGACAGCCTTCTGTTCACCATATCTAAGAAAACTTAATATCTCTCCTCTCTTTTCCTCGCAGTTCTTTGTAAGCGATCCCAGCCGACTGCAGGAGGAGTTCACTCGCTACCAGTTCTATCTGCAGATCAAGCGCCACATTCTGCTGGGCAAGCTGCCATGCTCCAGTAATACCCAGTGCCTGCTTGCCAGCTACACGGTGCAATGTAAGCCAGGGATCGCCCACAGAAGTCCATTCGATTAATACCCCTCATCCCGTCCACAGCCGAATTGGGCGACTTCAATGCGACGGAACACCAGCCGGGCTATTTGAGCGGGATGCAGCTGCTCTGCGACCAGACGACCGAGGCGGAGCGAAAGGTGGGAGAACTGCATAAGCTGCACCGCGGCCAACTGCCGGCAGACGCGGAGTACAACTACCTGGAGCACGCCAAGCGACTGGAGCTGTATGGGATTGACTTGCACAAGGCCACCGACTCCAATGGCAAGGAGCTGCAGCTGGGCGTGTCGGCGGTGGGACTGCTGGTCTTCCAGCACTCGCTGCGGGTCAACACCTTCTCGTGGAGCAAGATGGTCAAGGTGTCGTTCAAGCGCAAGGACTTCTTCATCCAGCTGCGACGCGAGCCCAGCGAGAACTATGACACCCTGCTGGGATTCGGAATGAGCAGCCACAAGCACGCCAAAGCGCTGTGGAAGTCCTGCGTGGAGCACCACAGCTTCTTCCGCCTGAAGCGGCCACATCGCCTCTCGCGCTTCCTTAACATCAGCCTGGGTAGCAAGTTCTACTACTCTGGGCGCACGGAGCTTCAGGCGGTTCAAGAGTCCAAGCAACGCGGTCGCATCCACAAGGTTTTTGTGCGCTCTCCAAGCAAGCGGCTCCTGGGAGCCTCTGGCGTATGCGGAACATCAGGCTCCTCGGGCGGGACTCCGATGCTGCAACACAGCGGCTCCGAGAGCGCCAGCTCCCACAACAACGGCAAGCTGGCCACCGGTGGCACCATTCTTACCATCACCAAGACGAGCCGCCCCCACGACAATAAGGTCACTTCCAAGGAGGCGGACTCGATGCCGCGAAAGGCCTGGGAGCAGCAGAGCGACGAGTACGACATCCAGCTGTAAGTAGAAAATTGTATTTATTAGAAACAGATTATAAAATACACTTGGGGCTTGCCTTTCAGCGACGTGGGCTTCATTGAGCAGTGCACCCGGCGCTTCGAGTCTGCCTCGCCATCGCCCATGCCGCCCGCCTACAGCTCCGGCCAACACAGTCCACTCCTGCTGCCCACGACTATCGCGGACGCAGTGGGTCAGCAGCAGCCGGAGAGCGGCAGCGACCTCATCACCATCCGTTTGCAGGCCGACGAGCAGGGACGCTATGGTTTCAACGTGAAGGGAGGAGTGGATTTGAGCCTGCCCGTCCAGGTTTCCAAAGTGGTGCCCCATACGCCCGCCGATCGCTGCACTCCGCGTGTGTGCGAGGGTGACGAGGTGCTCATGATTAATGGACGGGATGTGCACGGCCTGCGGCACGAGCAGGTGGTGGCCATGATTCGCGACTGCCGTCACCAGGCCAGCGGTGAACTGCTGCTGACGGTGCGTCCGCAGCGCTCGGCGCCTCTGCTCCTGGAGGAGGAACCGTTGTACCAGTACGTTCCGGAGAGCGACGAGATCGGCTCGCACTCTAATCTGCTCGATGGCGATGCTCTGTTCACCCAGAGCCTGCTGTTGCTCAGCGACGGACTGGCCTCAGGCGCTCTGCTGGCCCAGTACGAGCTCATGTACAGGAAGAACCCGGATCTGGCCATCACCGAAGCTCGCAAGCCGGCCAATGCACCCAAGAACCGATATCGAGACATATCGCCATGTGAGTGTATAGTTAAATCTTAAATCAACACATGTAAACATGGCTGACTCTTTCAGATGACTGCACGCGGGTTTCTCTGGTCAACTCGCTAACTGGCGACTACATCAACGCCAACTACGTGAACATGGAGATTCCCGGCGGAGCGGTGAACCGGTATATCGCCACCCAGGGACCGCTGGCCAGCACCACAACAGACTTTTGGCGCATGGTGCAGCAGGAGAGCAGCCATCTCCTGGTGATGCTGACGACGGTGATGGAGTCGGGTCGCCAGAAGTGCCACCAGTATTGGCCGGTGACCGGCGAAGAGCTTCACCTGGCGGAGGGATTTTCGGTGCGCTGTCTCAGCGAGAAACCGGACGAGACGGGCAGCTTCGTCTTCCGCGAGTTTGTGCTAAAGGACAAACACGAGCAGCGGCACATCCACCACATGCAGTACCTGGCCTGGCCGGACCACTGTGTGCCCTCCGATCCCAACCTCTTTCTGGAGTTCACGGAGCGCGTGCGCGCCGCCCGAAACCGCACGCTCCTCCAGGAGATTGAGGAGAGCCTGAAGCAGGTGCGCCTAATGGACGCCGATGCGGATGCCGACGAGAACGGTGGACTTATGCGGGAACGCAAATGCGCGGCCAGCAACGGAGCCACGCCGGAGGACGAGACGCCCGTCTCGACAAGCGTGCATCAGTGAGTATAAGGATGAAGAGAGATCTTTAAGACTCCTTAACTTTACTCTATAAATCTCCAGGTGCATCAGTGCCGCCAATCCACCTGTGATCGTCCACTGCTCGGCGGGAATCGGACGCACTGGAGTGCTTATACTGATGGACACTGCGCTGGCCTTGATGGAGGCTCGTGAGCCGGTGTATCCCTTGGACATTGTGCGCACCATGCGCGATCAGCGTGCCTGCATGGTGCAGAACGTGGTGAGTATGGCTGGATTGGATTTACCGAGGGGTTGCTCATACGTGTCCTTGAATTCCAGAGCCAGTACCGCTTCGTGTGCGAGTGCATCTGCGCCGCCTACATGAAGATCTCGCGCAGCAGTGCCGCCATCAACGACGACGAGGATTAGTGGGGGCAGGACAATCCAGCTACGCAATCTACAATCTTCCGCTTTACACGCCCCAAAACGATTCGAGTTTTTCTTATTCTATACGACCCTACGTCTAAATCTATCTAATTGTTAGAACCCGTAGACATATGTTTAAAACCGATTGTATATCATTACTATTACCGATCCCATATATTGTATTATCAACTCCGTTCGTAAGGTACCCCTTAATACACACTTACTCATACATTTTCTCCATCAGTCGCCGGAAGTGCTGCAAGGAAACGATTCTAAATTTACAAAGCCACCACGGAACGGTTAACGAAGTGAACCAACTACCTAATCGATGTATACAAATACAAAGCGCAAGCGAGACAAATGGCAATTTATTTACACCCATCCAACGCTACACGCCACCCACAATTGGCGGTCGAGAACAATACGCAAACCGCAACCGAGAATACGATCCTTATACATTGAGAGACAACATGAGAAGATGAAACTGTTAGTATTTTAGCACCAAATAAATTCATAAATGTATTTATGCTGAACAAAACTCCAATAAAATGTGTAATTAAAAAAAAAGGTTTTTATTTCTACTGGGTAAATATTATGTACATATGTATATATGGAGTTTTTCTTTACATGTCATTATAAGACGCCAGATTATATGTGAAATTAATTTTAATGAACCATTTTTCTGCGTTACTTGACTAGTAAATAATTTTTCGCACAAAAACAATTGGATTAAGTATAAAATTCATTGTTTTTATGAGTACAATTTTTCACCAAAATATCACAAATATTAATGAAAATTGTATGTTAAAAATAAGTGTAATTTGGGATAAAATCCCGATAATTAGGTTTTCACTGTTTGGGAGGGCGAATTTTTCTCTTTGATTATTGGAAAGAATTATGGGAAAGTACTTTTGAAAAATCGGTTTTTTGAAAATTAGTTCACTTGACTTGCTTAAAATTTTTTGTACAAAAACAATTGAATTTAACCAATCAAATATCACTGAAAATCGAATCTTAAAAAATGGTTAAATTTGGGAAAAAATCTCGATAATCAGAAGGATTTCACTGTTTGGAGGGCGCCAATATTTGGCTTTAGAGATGATAGATTTAAAAACCATTAAATATCGGTACAAATATATTATTTTATATGGAAGTCTTCTAAATGTATCATAAACTAGTTACATATTTGTAATTCAAGTGTTGACAAATTTATGGATTTTTTGTTGAATGTGAAACGGTTGTTATTATAAGGGATCCTATCACAATTTTATGGGCGTTTGACGCATGCGTGTGATTCTTGGAGTGACACCTCTAGCTTTGCGTTGACCTATAGATTTCCAGCCCGAAATGAGCTCCCCTGGATTTCTGAGTGACTTCCACATTCCGCACTTGGCGCCGGGGGCAACCCCATATGATCCGATGGACGCAACTCTTGACGAATCACCGCCACCGCCGGAAATTTCTTCCGGGAGCCGTCTGGTGGCGCCTGGAAAACAAACGGCCAATCCGAATTCTGGTTCCCCGAGAGCACCCATGAAACGGAAGGCTGAGCCGATGGAGGAGGACTCTTCGGAGGCGGACAACAAGTTGGTCTTGTTTCCCGGGCGCGACGAGAGTTATCCGGAGGAACTGAACCGTCTGATTGGCCCGCTGCACTGCGAGCTGTGCAAGGTGCAGGTTACCTCCCGGAAGTGCGCCCGGGATCACTACGAGTCGAAGGCCCACGACCGCCACATCAGCGCCTGGCTGGCCAAGAACTACACGGAGGCGGGTCTGCAGGCTCCCCCGGTGAAACGCCTGGCCAAACAGGGACCCACCGGCCCCAACGCCTTCCACTGCGACTTGTGCGACCTGGATCTCACCTCCTCAATGCACGCCCGCCAGCACTACCTGGGCCGTAAGCACAAGCTGGTGGAGCAGCGCGTCTCGAAGCCCTCGGGAGCCGGGCACTACGATGCAGCCGGCAAGTGGGTGCGCACGGGCAGCAAGCTCGAGGGGGATGGAGTGAACCCCTCTGATGGGCGCCATGGGATCGGAAGTCTGTTCCTCCAAGCGGAGAACTCGGCCCAAGATGCTCCAGCTGCGGAAGTACCTCCTCCGGAGAGCCCAATTAAGTCGGACGACAAGGAGCGCACTTGCAGCCTGTGCAAAATAGTGGTAACTTCGGCTCCCCAAATGCAGATCCACTTGGCGGGGGCCAGGCACCAGAAAAACATGAAAGCTGCTGGCCAGGATCAGTCAGCCGAATCAGGAGATGTCACTCTTCCGGAGGCGCCCCCGGCTCCAGCCGAGAATCTAAGCCCCCAGGAACTGGCCATGTATCGCACACCAATTGGCCAGTACTACTGCCAGCCCTGCAACATGATGATGAATCACGTGACTACCTTGCAACAGCACCTTATTGGCAAGAAGCACCTAAAGACGGCGAAAAACCTTCCCCAGACCGAAAATACCGCCTAAGATGGTCGATTTTCCATTAATCATTACAATTTAACGAATACCAGACTATAATACTTAATTCGTAGTATCATAATTATACTAGAGTCTTCAAATAACTCCGTAGGAAATGTAATAATTTAATTTGAAAATCCCAATTATGTTGTAGATCTATAATATGGAATCCATGAAATAAATAAAATTCTTTTCGAATTGGATATCGGTATCCATAAAACAAACTAATACGTTTTTCTTTTCTTTATTTTTATTAACATTTTTTGTATGAGCTGTATCATCTAGATGGCTTATAAGCTGTCATTGCCTTTTTCCAGTCAAATCTTAAATCGTCACTCTTTTTAAATAACGTCAAGCTCAGGGGGATAGTTCGAGTCAAATTCGACTTCGCAGCGGTACACATATTTTGAGAAAAAGAAAAAAAAATTTGATAAACTCGCACCATGGCTGAGGACATGGAGGTTGAGGAGACGGAGGACTTCCATGATCTGGACTTTAACGACGACGAGGCATCCGGTAGCGGGGGAGCAGGGACAAGTGGAAGTGGCCAGGCCAGGGAGGAGCGCTTCGTGGTGAAGAAGTGGGTGGCACACGCCTTGTGGTCGTGGGACGTGGCAGTGGACAACTGCGCCATCTGCCGCAACCACATCATGAACCTGTGCATCGAGTGCCAGGCGGATCCGAATGCGAACCAGGACGAGTGCACGGTGGCCTGGGGCGAGTGCAACCACGCCTTCCACTACCACTGCATCGCGCGCTGGTTGAAGACGCGGCTCGTCTGTCCGCTGGACAACAAGGAGTGGGTCTACCAGAAGTACGGCCACTAGCGAGGGATTTGAATGTGGAGATGGACTGTGGTGACATAGTTGTGTGATTTGCATGATTGGTTGTAGCTAAATTAAAGTTGACTTGGGTTCCCAACGCACCGACTAGGCTTCCTGTTCGGGCAGGAGTTGCTGGGCCGTGGGCCTCACGCCCGTTATGTGCTCGATTTGCGAGTAGAGAGACTCGCGCTCCTCCACCAAGCTGGCGTACTTTTGCTGCAGCTCTTTTTCTCGGTCCATTTGGCGGCGCACATCCTCCTGCAGCGATTCCAGGCGACGCGGCACCGCGATGGCCTCCTGCTCGCCCAGGAAGCGGAATGTGGACAGCGAAACCGAGTTTTGCTCGATCTGGCCGTAAGTGTCCTGAAGCTGCTTGATCAGCACCTGGGCGCGCGCCTGGTAGCCGCCGGTGAGAATCTTTAGTTTCTTCTCGATCTTGCCGCACCGCTTCGCCTCCTTGGCCATGTGGCGGCGGTTGGTCTCCAGTCGCTTCTCGGCCGACTCCAGTCGATCCTTCTTGCTGGCCAGATTGGCGCGGGTGTAGCGATGCTGGGAGGGCAGGTAGAGCACCTGGCCGAGACACTCCTGCCACACCTGGGCGTAAACGTCCAGTGGCAGTTCGCCGTGTGACATGCGCTCCTTGACCACCTCCATTTCCTCGTTCAGCAACTGCTTGGCCTTGGCCAGCTCCTGCTGCGAGATGTCCTCGTAGGGATTGGCCTTAAAGTAGCTCTGCAGTTGTTCCAACTTGTGCTGCGACTGTCCCGGCACAGGATCTTTAACAGAGTCATATACTGGGGTAGAAAAATAGGGTAAACTTTATATACTTCAATGGTGATCTTAGGTTTACTCACACTGCATGGTGATCATCTCGTGCTTAATCAGCTCCTCGGCCTGCTGCTGCTCCGTAAGGTTCTGCTTCTCGGACTGCGGGCGCAGAATCTTGGTGTTCACCTCCGTGGGCCGTGGCAGGCTGCGCTGGATCACCTGGGAGCGCTTCTCAAGCTCCCGCTTGCGCCTTGCCTCTTGCTCGGCCAGCAGCCGGGCGTCCACATCCGCCTGATCCTCGACGGCGGGTTCCGAGCTGGTCTCCATTGGTTCGCTGTCCTCCTGCTCGGGCACTACGATCTCATAGTCGTTTCGGGGAGCGGGAAGTGTGGATAAACCCTCGCGTAGCGTGGACTTTAGTTGTTTCTGGTAGTTCTTGTAGAGGGCCGGGGTCTCGGTGACGCCCATGCTCTCCTCGGGATTGATGCTCAACTTGTCCCGCACATAAGCAGGCGTGTTGACGGCACCTGTAGCTCCTGCAGCCCCCTTTACCGGAACGAGGGCGCCGGAAGAGGGTGTTAGGAATCCTCCCGGAGTAGCTGCCCCGCCCTCGCGTTGTGTTCTAAACGGTGTGGCAATAACCGTGTTTGGCGTGGCTATGGAGGCCGCCTTGGGCAGCACGCCGGAGAAGTCGGACTCATGCAGCGGGGTGTTCAGGCCACCCTTGAGGGGCGTCTCCGTGTGGGTGAGGGCCATCATGTTCTGGGCCTCCTGCATGATGCGGTCGGTGTACGGAGCAGGTGTGCGCGGAGTGGCCGCCACCTGGGGCGTGATGGAGTAATCAGCCAGTAGAGCATCCGTCGTCTCGATACCGCTCTCACCGGCTATCTCCTTGGCCATCTCGCTGGCGCGTCCCAGCTTGACAACCTGCTGCAGCTCCATGTCTGAGATCTGCGGCGTGGGCAGCACCAGCTTGGAGCGCTTGCGCTCCGGCTCCATGTTCTGTAGCATGGCGGTGGGCACCTCGTTCTCCTTGCGTTGCTTCAGCTTCTGCTTGTCCCGCTTGCGTTCGCGCTCCTCCTTCTCGGAGCGGAGTTCTCCATCAAGGTCCTGCTGCCGCATCTTGTTGAAGTCCGGCTCGTTCTTCTGCAGATGCTCCTCGGCAGTGTCATAGAAACCAAGGGCGGGTCGCTTTTCGAAGGGAATCTCTGCGTTGTAGTCGATGCCCTTGATGCGCTTGCGATTCCCGCTGCCAATGCCTGCGGCACGGAGTTCCCGGCGTTTCTGGAGCGTGGCCAGGCGACGGGCCTCCTCCAGCTGCTTCTCGCGCGCCTTGCGCTTGGCCTTTTTGCCCTGCGTATTGGCCAAACGAGCTCGGGCCTCGGACAGCATCTCCAGCTCGTCCTCGTCCATGTCCTTGGGATCGGGGCGCGCCGGCTTGGTCTCCGGATTGGGGTCGATCTCGCCGGGCTTCAGCTTGCGCGGGTCGTCCATG